CCCACCTGGCTGATGGTGCCTGACTCAGGCTGTATCACTGTAAGCTCAGTGACAGCTTGAGGATATATTTTGATGAGAGCTGAGCTGGTTAACAGCTCTGTGTTGAAAGGTGTGATTTCAGCAAGCTGATTCAGAACTTCAGTGGCAGAAAATGTACTGAGCAAAGCAAGTGACTCCTGCTGCAATGGTGGCAGGCAATTAGACTTACCCTGCTGTGCTTCCCCAGTTTCACCCAGAGAAGAGAAGCCTGAAAGACTACAGTGATGATTTGGGTGAGCTGGATCCCTTTTGGAAAGATGGCTTCCCATAACTTTAGCACATTAATCAAACTCGACAAAATTGCTTTTGTTTCATTTGTGGCCTCTCTTAAACCCATAAATCTCATGTCGTGTGATACAGCCTGCGATGGCCTGACTTCTGAGTCAAGATTTAGACAAAGACAGAAGCAATAATTTGTCTTAATTTCCAAATCAATGGGTTTGAAACTACTGCGTATGAAACTCCCTCTCCTTGAGGGCTGTTTCAGCCCTTCACGTGGCCACATCCCATTATGCAGTGTGTGCTAACCAGATTCCAGTGGTGTGTTCTGTGCTTGCTATTAGAGCAGTAGGTAGGAATGAGCAGAGTCTGGAATGTTAATGGCAGCCAAATGGTAAGGTGTTTGTGTTTCTAAAGTAGGAATGGAACATCAAAGATTAGTAGTTGTAATGTTATATCTAAGTGTATTATCTGGAATCCAAAACAGTTTTCTCTCATTTTTTCCTTTTTCAAGCTATGGCTTGATTAGATTAATTACTAATTTTTCAGTTGTTTCAAAAGAAACATTAATAAATTGTCTTTGGAATCATCAAGACACTTAAACACTTAAAATGCTGCTTTAGAAAGAAGTTGTTCTGCTTCAAGTGGCTAATGGGTACATTTGCTATGATAAGAAGCAATTGAATTTGTTGATTCTTCTGCACACAAATATGATGTTTATCTTTTAAGTGAAGGGAACTCGCTTTCCACTTCTCAGATTTTCTACGTTTGCTTTGTTTTTGACATAGAAGTATAAGCTTGCATTTCTTGGGGGGGGACGGGACAGCATGCACTGTACCTTGCTTTTGTTGTTTTTGACAGCTCTTAGTGCCTTAATTCAAACAAATAAAGATAAACGATTGCTCTGCAGTGCATTTTAATCAAGTGTTACTGCACACTAAATGTATCCTCATTACCCAGGAAATTTGAGAATTCAATTATTTTGTGTCCATCGTGTATGGTGGATTCCTGACTGCATGGTTTAGTGCAACACAGTAATAGAAGGAGGATAAAGGCATGAGAATGGTAGGAAATGGAGGCAGCTGCCTGGAGTGGGGCTGGAGAGGGCTGAGTTGTTGTGAAACGTCACTCAGAACTTCCAGGTGTGGACACGAGGTTTTAGTGGCTGTGTTTTCCTTCAGTGTAATGAAGAGAAGCCCGGGTCTGTTACCAGGATGGCGATGGGTGCAATGGGGAGAGGAGAGGGATGCTGTGAAAGGTTTGCTGCCAGTGCTTTGGGTTAGTTTGATCGAATGAAGGACTCTTTGTTGCTGCATTCTGACAAGGCTGTACGTTGTGGTTAATGTTCCTTGCTGTACCTTTTGAAAGGTGAGTCAGGGGCCTGAGCTGCTGCTGGACTTGCTGGTGAAGCTTGAGAAAAGCAGGCAGCAGTCCTGTAAACCTGAGATGCTGGGGTTGAAGCAGTTGCAGAGCTCGAGCATACAGAGAGGGCTGTTGGGGGACTCGCTTCAGGCGTACAGGAGGAGGCTGTTGCAGACATCTCACAGCCTTTCTAATCACACGGAAATATTTAAAGTAACTAAAATGCCTTTTCAGAATCCTTCTGTTGTTGTCATGTTATTGTTCTGTGTTTGTTCTTTTGACGCTGTTGCCTTTCTCTTGAAACAGCTGAAATTGTTTAAGAACAAAGTCCTCATGGGGAGAGGAGGCATTTGAAATCCTACTGTGCTTTATGTGCACCATAGAAAAGCATGTATGGTTTTATACTTTGAAGGAGGATGTTTACAAAATAAGGCATTGGTTTGAATTGAAGATAGAGCAGTTATGTTCTCACCTTCATTGCCCGATTCTCTTTGGTTGCTTTATTGAAGACTTCTGTCTCTGGTCTTCATCAGTTAATTGTGCTTGAGTGTAAAGCTATTTATGGATCCATCTAAAATGCTGTGCCAAAAATCTGGGGATGTTCCATCTCAGTTTAATGCAACTTAATAGAGACCTAAATCTGTGTCCTGTGTCAGTGTTGAATTGTAACTAGAGAAGTGTTTCAAGAGACTTCCAAAAATAGGTAAGTAATATGGTGTGTTATTAGTCCTTTATTTCCAAACAAACTGAAGATAAAACCAGAGAAGATCTTGGTCCCCCAAAAGGAATTGCCCAAGTGCTAATTTTTCTATTGAGTTTTGAACTACGGAAGTACAAGACAGATGTAATTCTTATGCCAGGTACCCAGCTGCAATCAAATCTGTTCATTTGCTGTGCATTTTGAAGCACTTTATAGAAGCAATGAGAGCTTGACATGCTAATAAATTATAAATTAAAATATAATCAGTTTTTTACTTTCTGAAACATTCTCATCTGCTTACTGAGTCGTGGTTTAATGTTACTTCAACAGCTGATTCTGGGTGCATAACTGTCAGTTCCTTGTGAAATGGTAATAGGTCCTTAACTAAGACAGCTCAGCACAGCTTTCTAGCAAGGGTCTGTAAAATGCTGATGGTGTGCAGTACTAAAAATATTGCAGAAGCCATTTTCCATGTGGAAAATTAGAAAGCATAGCAGTGGGGACTTGAAGTTGAGAGCAAAATAAAAAGGCTTGTTTCCAAATTAGTCTCAAATGTTCACATTTGTTTGGGTTTTGATTTTATTTATTTATTTATTTTTCTTAAATGTTATTGTCAAAGGAAAGGTGGTGCCAGGCTGGGGTGGTGGGACAGAGGAGGAGAGTTCTGGCTTCCCAGAATAATGGGACCAGAGCCAGCAGGTGATCTACACTTGTTTGAAAACCACTTTTGTCGTTTGTTCTCAGTGTTACCTTGCTAATTACACAGCACAGTGTTCAGTGTTGTGTTCAGTTCTAATAAAGTGCTGCTCCTGAATCCTGCCATTCCATGTGTGGTTTCGTACAGGATCTTGCATAAAGCCAGGCGTGCTTTAGGGGTTGCATGGGCTCCACCATTGCACTGAGGGAAGCTGCTTGCAGGGAGAGCACAGGGCAGTGCGTGGAGAAGCAGTTTTCCCACGGGGATCTGGATGTATTTATGTGAAGGCAGGGTTTCAGTCTTCTCTGGAGTAGCAGCAGTGATGCAAGTAATGTTGGTGAGCACCGCTGTCAGATTCTCTTACAGCAGACTTCTTGGCTTTTTAATCCAAATTAAGATATTGGTTGTTTCATAGGGAAGGGAGGGAGCTTTAATAAAGGTTCTTCACAGCTAGCCCATCAGGCAGGCACCTCAAGGCCAGAATGTGTGAAGTGTGCTGGGATAAAGGTGTATCTGCATGCAGCATTATTTTCAGAACCTCGTGAAATCAGGGCTGAATGGTGGACGTGGTGCTTTGAAAGGCTGACCAGCTCTCTTCAGATTGTAAGCACATCTGATTATATTTAATTGTGCCATTCCTCTACTTGGAACTGAGTAAATTTGGGTTTTGCTGAATTGTTTGATCGGGATGGGAAGTAGACTGCAGAAACAGGTTAGAAACCTCCTGGTGAAGGTGTTTGGTAACTGTGCACGAGGGATGTCTGTGTTCTGGACCATGCAACAAAATTCAGTTTTATGGAAATTAACTCTTCTTTCAATGCCCAGTGACTTTGTTTTCTATTATATCCATGCCACTCCACTTTTTTTTTTGAAGTCTGCAATGCCAGGAAAACATCCTCCAGAAATAAGTATAAGCCTAAAGCTGCCAATTGCTGGAACTTGGACTTGAATCTGATTGTTGATTTGAATTGCCTAACAGATGAGGATGATTTCTTTCAATTGGAGATCTGTCAGTAGCTATCATTACTAGAAATCTGTGGCTTTTATAATACTGTCTCATTTTACTATTGGATTAATTTCAGTTCTGAGTCCTAATACGTGATGGTATGAATTTCTGAGTACATGAGAATAGAACTGAGGCAAATACGCTTATCTGACCATTTAAAAATCTGTCCAATTATTTCATTGATGCAGAGACCAAACACTTCTGCTGGGAGGAGGCCCTCAATGCATTGCAAAAGAGATGCCTGCTATTATCTGCCAGATAAACCTGCTATATTTGGGTGAAGTTCAAGAGCCTTAGAATTACGCTTTTCAGAACCTTGTTGACTTGGCATTACACTCTGCAAAGGTTGTCCGCAGAAATCCCTGGGTCTGCTTGCAGATTCTTGGCAGACCAAGCGTGCCCAGTTCATTTCTTTCTGGTTGATATTTTTGTTTTGTTTTTAAGTGCCTGTCGACTTCAGCAGGTGAAAGAGGATACTGTGGAAGGGGAAGCATTTATCCTTACCACATCGCTGTATATTCTTGTTAGAAATCACTGTGGGAAGAAAACATCTACTTAAGGAAAGAAAATGAGTCAGATCTGCTTCTTGCAGATAGAAGGTGATGAACCCAGGCTGAAACCAGGTTGTTGCTGTATAGATTGCTTTGTAAGGTATGAATGTTCATGTTGACCACCTGCTTTGGAGAATATTTTTTTAATTTTTTTTTTATTTTACAGTTTTAGAGTTGGTTTATGGGTTCAAGTGAATACTGAGGTGCTGTGAGTTGGGTGGTAATTACAGCATACGCTGATGGCTTTAATTAAACCAGCTTTGATGTATGTTGGGAGAAGGATGCAACCCTGTCATCCTAAGGGACTGGATAGCTTTGGCTGGTGAGATTTCTTCATCTGCTTTTCGTGAGACCTTTCTCATAATCATAAATGGAATGAAGTCTTTCAATCAGTGATGTGTTAAAAGTGTCTGTTTTGTTTTGTAGGACGCCTGATGATCTCTCGAGGCAAATTGTGGCCCTGCAGCAAAGGGAGCTTGTGCTGAAAGAGCAGAACTCTACCATCACAAACAGGTAAGTGATACCAGTAGTGGATGCTGGGTAGCAAAATGCTGCCATATTAAGGCATGTGGAAGGAGAATAAAGACTTCAGACTGCGAGGACGGCTCTTTAGATTTCCCTGCTGCTCTGAAGAGCTTTCCATGCTATTGTTCTTTCCCATATTGACAAAGAGTTTTTTCCTCATGTAAATCCTAGCAGTATGAAAGAGACTAAATGTGGGAGGATGCGGTGAATAGTTTATCCAGTTTTATTTCATAAGCTGTAGTTTTTGGAAGGGGAGATAAGCATCTTTCCCAGACCACCACGTCACGAATGTGCAAAGCAGAGATCCTGGGGTAGGAGGGCAGTAAGAGCTCCGAGGGCTGTAATTTGCCTGCTTAGAGCACCAGTTTGTATAGGTGTGTTGGATGAGCACGCCTGTAGTTTTGGTGGCAGAACACTGCTGGACTGTAAAAGGAGCAGTTGGTTTATAGAGCAGGGATATGTATGTAAAACTGGAGAGTGTCTGAGCCTTTGCACTGATGTGGGAGCGAGCATCTCCTGGAGGAAACGAATTTGTCTGCTGGAGCTTTACTTTCCAGACTGCATGGGTTACACGTGGCATTTCTTAACGCGATTCCATTGTGCGCCTGAAAGCACTTCTCACCCTCAGTGCACTTCTTTTTCTGCCCTGATGTCTCTTCCTGTTTAGAAGCAGTACCTCCACCTTTAAAAATGGTGCTTGGGCAGTTTGCATTGCCAAAGCCTTGTCTAAGCTGCAGAAGCATGGTGAATTTCCACCTTTGGTGTAATATGTTAAATATAAAGCATACATGTAATCGAGCTCTGGGCAAGTGCTTTTATTTGTCTTGGGCTGTATTTGCATGTATGTCTCCTGAGATACGTGGTAGATTTTGGTTTGAGAGGTGGTCGTCTTATGGTCTCTGCCTTGTGAATGATGGGCAGAATTCAAGCAGGGTGTTAAAAGCTTTGTGTGCTGCTGCTTTTAAAAGCATTTAGTCGGTTGTAAAATTGTTAGCCAAGTGTAAACTGCCAGGAGTGCAGTGTTTGCATTTCTGTAAAGAGTTTTGAGGATGACAAAGACCGTCACTAATATTAGAGGGAAGAAAAGGCATTTCATATATTAAAAGTGCACCAAGCAAATCTCCTGAAGTCATAATTGATCGAACAAAAGAACATCGGTAATGTTTGAGTTGTTTTTCTTCCCCACAGTCTGCTACTCACAGCCTGTCAGAGCAGTGTTTTTTCTAAATTTATTAATGGCCAAAGGGAATCATCTGTTGAAAAAGCAGCCTTTTGGTGCTGTCTGTTCATGCTGGATGTAATTGTGCCTATTTAGTTTAAAAGTAAAAACATGATTAAGATTACTTTTTGATTTCAAGTGAAATGGGCTGTAAAGCGGCTTAAATTAAAATTGTAGCATTTTCTTGATGAAATGCTCTGTATGTCATTTCCAAAACTAACAATTTTAGCTTTCTTCTGCCACATACCTTATTCTGTCTTAAAGTAGGCAATAAGATACAGTTTTTAAAACCTTTCATTACGGATGATTTGAAAGTTCCCGAGAGAAGGTCTTGAGTCTCTGGAAATAAAACCTTGTTAAGGAAGCAAATCTAATTTTCTCTTTTCACTTGAATGACACCCAGATCCAGCTGATGATTTTCTTTTGTTTCATAATTGCGTGCAGAGTGGACTGCATGTGACAGTAACTTAATATGTGACCATGACTCCCTCTAGTGATTGAGCCCTGCAGTGATTTGGCTTTCTATTGTTTTCTCATCTATAACTTCATTAGCTTCGAGTTGGGATGTGTTCTGTCTTCAGTGCTGATGGTTCTGTATCTCACTTATAAATAGTTGGTGGTTATTTGTGTACAGAGCCATATGCAAGAGGAATTTTGCCTATCATATTAAGCTTTGATTAAACTTCTCCATTAAAATTAATGATTTGGTAGCTACTGAAGGAAACATCATCAGAAGTTGGCATCTGAGTTTATTCCTGACATTAAAGCAGGGAATCAAAGATAGTTCTGGGTTACCTCTTGCTGCCATGCAAAGCTCAGTGTTCAGTAGAAGAAATTGGAGTGATGTTGCAGACTGAACTGTCATGAACAGTCTTTGCTTTTTTCCTTAGAGCACTTGCACTGGGAATGGATGGGATGTCTGGAGCACAGTTGGTCAGCAGACTCACTTGCTGGTGGCTTAACCCAAATAACAGAGGCTGCGTGCAAACTGAGTGGTGTTTCTGGTCATCAAGGAGCACTTTGGCATAGGCAGAGGAGGGCCTGTTATGGTTCTTTGCAAGCTGAGTGTTCTGTCTTTACACTGCAGTTGTCTGTCTTCATTTTAATTGCTAGTGATAGCATCTTGCCTACATGTTAGCGTGGTGAGCACTTGCTACATCCTATTTGTGTCACAGCCTGATGAGGAGTCCTCAGTTTCTATTTGATAAAAGGAGGTGTTTGATAGTGAGACAGGAGTTGATTGCTAATGTGGCCAAACATGAGCAGGACTTGACTTCAGAAAACAAGACAGGCTTGGAAAAGATGGCATAAGGGATCAGATTGCTATGTAAGGTCCCTTCTCTTCCTATAGAACTGGAGACAGGTGTGTGGCTCAGCTGCTTCACAGTGTGCTTCAGGTGATCTAGAATGAAGGGTTATGGCACATGGTCATTCCTGTAATGCTGTTTTCCACAGGGCATATGGCTTCATTAAACAGGTTGGACTTCACAATTGCTAATGGATTGCTGATGGTCTCTTGTCTGTGTGCAGCACTGACACTGGACCAACAAGGTGTTGTGTAAAATACAAGGCAACGTGAAGTCAGTGCCTCAAACAGAATGAAGGGCACCTGAAGAAAGGGAGAGCAGTGCTAAATCTTTGATCCTGATGCTGGGATCTTAGTGCTGCTAGTTTATTCCTGTCACCTGGTGAGTTTTGACATACAGTTTTATATGTGAAAAGGGATGTTTAGAATGTGTTTGAAATGATATTTTCTTTCTCCAAGTGCTCACAGAGTTCTCTTAAGAGAGATGGTTGTTTACACCTCTATTCGTATAAATCACGTAAAGTTGACTTACCCAAACAACCTGCTGTGTGTGTTATCGCTTACAAATGAAATACAAACCCAAAGCATTGAAGGCTAGGGAACAGAGATTGCACACTGAACAGAAAATGTTTTTAAGAGAGCCAGCAGGACTTCTTTTCCAAGCAAAAAAGACAATGAGTGAGTAATAATAAGATTGGAGCCATCCGTCTCTGAGCTGCTGGCTCAGAAGTGTGCTGTAAATCCACTGCCCATCTTCTCCTTTCCTTGGATGTCCCATAGAGCGTCAGTCACAAATACAGATGGAGCCTGTCAGCCTTTTCTCCCCTAATCTTCTGGAAAGTTGGGCGGAAGTTGGGCGGAAGTTTAATTACAGTGAAATGTCTTTTATCTGACAGCGAGAGGAGTGCTGGCTTTTTGATAGGCTTTATGAGTTATTTTGTGATCAAAAGAAGCACTTAATGTCTAATATAGGACAAGGTAGGGATTTTTGTGTAACTATATGGCACACTGCACCTTGATTTATACGTGGGGATGTATGTGTATCTAACACCAGACAAATGTTTATTCGTAATGCTTCAGGGCAATATTAACTGCTGGCAGGTTCTGTGTTCATTTAGAGCAATGTTATGAAAAAATGACTGGTGGGTATTGCTCTCCTCCTCAAAGTGAATCTTTCATGCCTTTTTTTATTCTGGAAAGTAGTTGATAGCGTCCCATTGAGTGACCTATCTTTTCAAATAAACATACTTAAACAGTGAGCTTCCAGGCTACATCTGGCTATTCATGATGATATTGAGTAGCTACAAAGCTTCCCTGATTTTTCTTCCCTTGTGCAATAGTGAGTCTCTAGCAGGAAACAGGAAGGCAAAATAGCTTAGTCAAGACATGGACTACTTGCTTCTAATTCTCAGAATGTGGGATTTTGCCCAGACCTCTGCTGTTGGTGATTTTTGTCTTTTTTTTTTTTCTTAAAGCCCAATTTCCTGAGCAAGCGAGGCAGTGTGCCTTACTGCTGCGTTTTGTGTGTGAAGGTATGTGAGCATTTCTGTGCCTGCTCCACTCTTTTGAAGTGGCTAGTTGTCTTCTGTCAAGTTTGGCATGTGGTACATATCCCCAAAATAATACATCCCAGCAAGCTTAATGAAAACTGCTATCCAGCTACAGCAGGGGCATCTTTTTGCTGCAGTGTGAGGCTATCACCTCTTTAGGTACCAGGGCTCTGTAAGTAAAGAGTTGGTGTGTGGGGAAAGGAAGTCTATTGCAGTAGGTATTCACCTTTGGAGAGAGAAGCCCATAGGAAACAGGGCAGCTTTAGTTCTGGAACTCAAGGAATTGCTCTCTTGTGCTGAAAAGCAATTATATAGAGAGAGCCTTAAGAGCAGTCTTCAGGGAACAGATGTAGCTACAATTTTACATCTTTTCAGCCTGGAGCTCTGTGGAGAATGTGCTGTGCAAACCTGGTAGAAACAAGTAGTATTTGGTTTCTTGCTTTTGGTTTGACTGTGCTTCTTGGAGACCAGGACGTGGAAGGAGGGTCTGCAAAATGCATCTCTTCAGTGCTCTGGTTGCTTTTAATGATTAACACGTTGCAAAAGCTATTTATCTCTGTTCTTTTTTTTTTTTTTCTTGTTTCAGGGTTGTGATTGACTGTTGGTGTTTATGCTAGCATCCCTGTTGTTTGTGCATCTTTCCATTACTAGAATAAGCTTTTATTTGTTAGTGCTCCTCTGGAGATGCTGATTAAATATTCCCTCAGGTGTCCAGGTAGCAATTCATGTTATTGACCAGAAAAATGTCTAAAGTAAACATGTAATGCAGTAGGTAAACATGCATTCTGTAGCTCTTGCTAACTGCTGTGAAGTAGGGCCTGTTCAAATACTTGACGAAACACTTATGTCTGAGAAGTCTCTTCTTGGCTGGGATGTCTTGGTTGGTTGATTGTATCTGCATGTGGAATCTGTT